TTTATTTATTTTATTTTGAGATGGAGTCTTGCACTCTCACCCAGGCTGGAGTGCAGTGGTGTGATCTCGGCTCACTGTAACCTCTGCCTCCCAGGTTCAAGCAATTCTCCTGCCTCAGCCTCTTGAGAAGCTGGAATTACAGGCACACACCACCATGCCCGGCTAATTTTTGTATTTTTAGTAGAGACATAGTGCCTGGCCCCTCCCTAGCATTTAAAATGCTCTCCAGGCTGGGTGCAGTGGCTCATGCCCATAATCCCAGCACTTGGGAGGCCGATGGGCAGATCACTTGAGGTCAAGAGTTGGAGACCAGCCTGGCCAACATGGCAAAACCCCATCTCTACTACAAATTCAAAAAATCTAGCTGGGCGTGGTGGCAGGCACACATAACCCTAGCTACTTGGGAGGCTGAGGTAGGAGAATCGCATGAATCCAGGAGCTAGAGGTAGCAGTGAGCCAAGACTGCCCCCCTGCACTCCAACCTGGGCAACAAGGGCAAGAATCCATCTCAAAAAAAAAAGCCAGAGAAGGAAGCATTTCACATAGAGATTGTGAAGCAACTTTTTTTTTTCCCAAAGAGAAAAGCTCACTTGACCTCCATGTGTAAAGAAGTCTGTGAACTGTTTTGCCATTTACCTGTGTGACCTTGAGAAAGTCACTTCACCTCTCTGGGCTGAGTTTCTCATTAGTCAAATGGGAGGCTGGCCTGGCAAATCACCCTTAACAGCTGATACTTTTGCATTTAGTACTGAATTCTATTAATCAACTGATGGCTCAGGTGAACCCTGGTGGCCCAAGGAAACGGAGCTAGGAGAAAGTGTAAACGTTAGTTGGTTCCTGCAGACATAGGTGTGAAGTAGCTAGCTGGTCATTGCTTAGCTCTATTCTATGACGGCTGCTTCGAAGATGGTGGACTTTTCTTTTTCCTTTTTTTTTTTTGTATTCTGTTTTTGTTTTTTGAGACAGAATTTTGCTCTTGTTGCCCAGGCTGGAGTACAATGGCACGATCTTGGCTCACTGCGAACCTCCGCCTCCTGGGCTCAAGTGATCCTGCTTCAGCCTCCCGAGATTTTTAAATAAATAGAGATTTATTTTTTAAAAATACATACTTTTTTTAAAAAAATAGAGATTATAGGCACCCGCCACCATGCCGGCATTCTCTCTCTCTCTTTTTCCCTCTCTCTCTTCTTTCTTTCAAGTTTCACTCTTGTTGCCCAGGCTGGAGTGCAGTGGTGTGATCTTGGCTCACTGCAACCTTCACATCCCAGATTCAAGTGATTCTCCTGCCTCAGCTTCCCAAGTAGCTGGGATTACAGGCATGCACCACCGCACCCAGCTAATTTTGTATTTTTAGTAGAGACGGGGTTTCTCCATATTGGTCAGGCTGGTCTCGAACTCCTGACCTTCAAGTGACCCACCTGCCTCAGCCTCTTGATGTGCTGGGATTACAGGTATGAGCCTCCGCACCCAGCCTCTTTCTTCTTTTTAAATAGAGATAGAGTCTCCCTATGTTGCTTCAGCTGGTCTTGAACTCCTGGGCTCAATCGATTCTCCTGCCTCGGCCTCCCAAAGTGATGGGATTAACGGTGTGAGCCACCTCGCCTGGCCAGACGGTGGACTGTTTATTTTTCTTTCTGTTTCCTTTCTGAGCCCCTGGTGGGTAGTTAATTCCTTTGCTTTTTTTTTTTTTTTTTTAAACTCTGCTTTATGTCTGTGCTATTCTGCTCTAGCTAGAGCCACATATAACTTTTACATGCATTCTTGAATTTTTGGACAGAAGCTTTCTTTTTATAATTCAGATCTCCATCAAGGAAAGACCCTGAACCCAGCCCTACCCCAAGGTTTATGCCTTTATTATCCGAAAGCATTCTATGTCCTATCATATTTAGCTTTTAAGATAAGACCACAATATAAAATAATAACAGGATAACCTAGTTTCTAAACCTTTCTATGTGATTAAGGTCTGCATTTTGCATTTAGGATTGCACAGAGAAGGTACTTACAGGGCAGTTATCAGCTCTTTCCCGACCCAGTCTCTGGCTCAGCACTTGGCACATAGTATGTGCTCAATAAAAGTTCACTAAACAAAGTATGAGTTTTGGGGAAACTGTTGGTATTTAGGAGTACCTAAAGTAATGCACAGATACTTATGCCTTATAAAACTGAGTCATAAGGGGAGGAAGTGCTTGGTTGCAGAATAAGCCCCTTCCTGGACTCCTTTTTTTTTTTCCATTCCTTCAGCAGAAGGCCAAACTGTCTACTTCTGCAAACAAAGTAACTGAGGCCTGAATTTTGAACTCATTTATGTAGAAGCCTCTAAGTTCCAGGATATGAAAATTTATCTGTCCACTTTGGTTCTGTGGCCATGTGAATTTATCCCTCCTGGGTAGGGATATTTTTCAGCTATGTGGGGATCTAACTGGTGAGACAAGCTGAGTTATCCTGCCAGTTGACCCTTGCTTTACAGATGATGGAATCTGGGCAGATCGCTTCTCCATTTTCAATGTCAATGTAAAATCAAGGTAAATGTAAAAAAGGGAGTTGAACTAGACTCTGACAAACTTAGATCTCTTCCTGCCTTAAGAGCCTATACTTCTATGATAGCCTTTGACCCTCACTTGCTTTAATCCTTCTAAGCCCTTTGAAGGCAAGGCCCAAGGGCTGGTCTTCTTAAAGCTCTTAGGCCATATTTGTTCATTTCTGTTTACCATTAACTGGCTGTACAATGTTATGGAGACCACCGAATCCCGCACTTCTATCATCTATAAAGCACGGGTTGTCAGGGCAGTCTCTCAAGCCTTTTACAACTTATAAAACTCTACAATTCTGAATGGGGGCTCCTGGCAGCCATCTTCCCTTCACCCTAGTGTTCTTCTGGAGGAAGTACAATGACAAAATCCAGGCAGTTTGGAGGATTTCCTAGTAGCATGTGGTTATCTTAAGTGTCCCCTTAACTAAATGGGTATTGGCCGGGTGTGGTAGCTCATGCCTGTAATCCCAGCAATTAGGGAGGCCGAGGCAGGCGGATTGCTTAAGCCCAGGAGTTTGAGAGCAACCCCGGGAACATAGTGACCCTATCTCTACAAAAAAATGAAAAAATGAGGTGGGAGGATTGCTTGACCCCAGGAGGTTGATGCTGCAGTGAGCAGTGATCACACTACTGCACTCCCATGATGGGAGTGAGACCCTGCCTCTAAACAAATAAATAAGTGGGTATCTTGCCAAAGGCTTGGAAATCTGCTATCCTTGGGAATTTCACTGTGATTTAATTTGAGAGAAGATTTGGCCTGAGGGCATGAAAAAATTGGATTATTGTAGACTGTCAGAGTGTTATTCTAGGGTCAGTTCAGAGCAAGGTTCAAAATGCAAGCTCTGGAAGGAAATGGGATGGCTACTGGTGTAGGCAGACCCCCAGCGAACACACTGTGGATTTCTTTTCCTCTTAAAGGCATAGCCTTGAGAACGGCTTTGACAAGTTGTTTCTGGCCCAAGTTGTCAAAACCAGTCTGTATTCAGCTAAAGTTCATTTGCATCCTCTATTAAAAAAAAATTCCCAACCTAACCTGGATGGCTGCGTCACGATGTTGAATCACTGGCTACAACCAAGTCACCATTTTATAAGACTATGGTGTTGAAACCTGAAACCCTAATTTAAGTGTCCTCCTCAGGAGTTCCACTGAGGAAAGTCCCTTTTTGGAAACCACAGAAGGAAAACTCAGGGTTAGGGGTACTCATTAAGCTGGAAGGAGCTTTTCCACTTGGCTGCATTGTTTATTTACATACTGCAAGTTCCTATCTTGGACACCCTTCCTTTCCTTATGAGAAGAGGTGTTTCTATTATATCATCTGACTGAATGTATTGCTGACCCCAAAAATGCCACGTAACGGTGCTTGGGACATGGGGCGATGCATCGTTTAGAGATTTCAGCATAGGCACTTGGCATCTTTTTTTTTTTTTTTTTTTTTTTTTTTACAAACAAGACACCTACCTTACCATGATTTGCAAAAACAATCAGATCACTGAGAAATCTCATTCCCAGTGTAGAAACCATCTCCTTCAAGAAGGAGCTGGCACGAAGTGTCTAACCGTGCAAACAAAACAGGCTTCCAGGTTGACAAGTTGAAATTGCTCTTCCCCAGTTGGCTCCGGGGAGCTTTTCCTAAGACTGACGCCCCCCGTGCTTGCTGACATTTTGTAGACGCCACCTAACAAACTTCTATGACCTGTCTTGCTAGGGTTGGGGGAATAAAAACACGACAACAACCTGGAAGGAAATAACCCATTTCCTCTGCAAAACCATCTTCCCTTGCTACAGAACTGCTCGGCGACATCAGCGCTTCCCCGCGGTTTGCAGCCCGGGGAACCTTGAAGTTGCGCGGGACCAGCCGTCAGCCGCTGACAGTTGTGACCGTCCAGGTGGAGGACCCGTGCTCTGCCGGGAAATCCCTGCCTTCCATCAAGGGGGCAAACGGTGGCCGCCCCAGGGAGTGCTGTGTTTGGGGGTCGTGGGAGGCAGGGAGCCCCACTTTCCCTCGCGCTACCTCAGTGGCCGCCCTGCGTGCGCGCGCCAGCCTGGGGAAGGAAGGTACCTCTGACATTTCGCTCCTGCGACGCGCAGGCAACTTCATGCGGAAAATTCGCGGAGGGGCTGAGCCCGGAGCCCCCGACTCGCCCGACGTCCCGGAGCCCCCAACCCAGGGCGGGGGGCACTCAAAGGCCATGCGTGCCTTTAGGTATCTTCCGGGACCCAACTGTACCAGGGTCACGGACATTCAACTCTCAGCTACCCACACCGGCGAGAGCGCGTCATCCCGGTGGCCCTGGGCATTCCTAACTGTCAGAGCGAATATTTTTGGGAATAACCTCTCCAAAATGTGAAGATGTTCAGTGGTCTCCTCCGCCTCCCATCCCCAAAAAAGGCCCCAACACATATTTTTAAAAAAACAACCCACACCCCACAATCAAACTTTTAAACATGTAAAATAATAAACCAACTCACCAAGTTAGAAGGGAAGAGAATAAACCCCAAAAGGCTCCCAATAAGGCGGAGGCTTGGCCTCCCCCTCCTTATAAGCCGCTCGGTAACATGAGAAAAGAATTAACCCCTTAGGGGGCGGCCCCGACTCTAGCGCAAGTTGGCTCCGGCTGGCGAGGCCGGAGCGCCCGGGCCCTCCACCCACTCCCGCGACTCGGGCGCCCGAGCCACACCCTCCCCCCGCCCCCCACCCCGGCCGCCTGCGCCCCAGGCCGTGCGTGCTGCCGCCCGCGCCCCGGCCCCGCGTCGCTGCCTAGCTCTTATCCTATACCGGCTGCAGCCGGTCTCCGCCGGCCTCGGGGGCGCGCCGCCGCGGACCATGTGCTGCGAGCGCCGAGCGCAGCCAAGGAGGGGGCCGGCCTGGCGCGCGCGCGCCGGCCCACGTGGACCCGGGCCGCGCCGGGCGCGCGCCCGCCCGCCTGCCGCCTGGGCTGGGGGTCACGGAAGGTAACCGCGTCGCGGTCCGCGTCCGGGCTGCCCCCGCCAGCACCGCCGGGGTCCTTGGCACAACGCCTGGATCGTCCAACCCGGGCGCGCCTGTGCGCGCGTGACCCGCCCAGACCCCGGAGCTTTGCTGCAACGCTAGTAGGAGCGCGAGTGTGCAGGGGCGTTGGGGGCGCCTGCACCCTATCTCGGAGCCCCACGGCCAGGCTCCCGCACGCCGGTACCCCTTCCCAACCCTGGGCGCCTTCCCGGTGAGCCCACCGCCCAGTCCAGTCCGCGCCCTGAGGATTTAGGGATTTAGCGGGGTGGGGGAACGCGCGCGCCGAGGCTGGTCCCGCGCGGCGCTCGCGGCTGCGGCGGCTCCGCGCCCGCTCCGGGCAGAACAGGTTCCTTCCAGTTTGGGTGTGAGCGGCGAGCGCGGCGCCTGAGTTCCTCCTGCAGCGCCCACTTCCCCCAATTTCGTCAACTCGCGCACCCCCACAGTTCCCCTTCCGGCGGTGGGGAGGGAGTGCCGCAGTGGGCCTCAGGGAGAGAGCGGCCAGGCCGCTGCGGGTGCCTTGCGTCCCGGTGTTTGCTGCACCGGCAGCAGCGGCGGCGGCAACAGCATCCGCGTTGCGCGAAAGGAATGTGAGCAGCCGGGCTGAGTCAGCATCCCCGGCCCGGGGCGCGCGCACCCTCCAGGCAGAGGCGGCGTCGGCACAGGTGCACGGCTCCCACACCCGCGGGGAGCCTTCTGTGGAGGGCCTGAAGGATTAGAGAGTCCGCGCCCCTCATCCCGAAGTCCCCGACCCCAAGGTCACTGTGAACTAAGCCGATGATGCACGCGAAACCTCAGTTAGGAGCTCCTCATGGGGACAAAGCATGTGTCAGATCCTAGACATTTCAGAGCCTGCGGGGGCGCAAACTTAGCTTCTCTGTCTCTACCTCACATCCCGAGGGCAAATTTGGAAACTGCTCGGAAGCAAAGGCCATGTTATTCGCCTTCCTCTGCAGACTTTGGCACCGGCTGCTGCCTTCATTGGGGTTCGGAGAATGTGATTCTGATGTCAGAAACTCAAGAGAGCAGAGTTTGGGAGTGCGTGCACGGAGGGTCGCCACCGGGAGGAGTCGGCGATCTGAATTTTAATAAAAATCCTTCCTTGCTCGCTCATTTTCTCTCACCATTTTGGGATAGGCTCTCCTGGGTTAAATGCCATCCTTTGCTGTTGACAAGCTCTGGTTGTGTAAGTGGGAAGATTCGCTGGTACAGGGTGCCCGGTACGGCCAGTGCTGTACAGCCAGGGGGCCGCTGAGTAGCTTTGCAACCTTGTAAGCATAATTTAACTTCATCGAGCGTTCATTTCTCCATATCTGTAAAATGGGGATGAAGGTGGTATTCCCAGAATTGGGGGGTTTAATTTATGGTACTTGTCAGGTGCGGATCGCAGTGACTTGCATTTGGTAAGGCCTCAGTACCCATTAACTTATGCTGCTGTTACGATTTATGCTTTACAACGCCAATTAATTGCTGACTCCACATTCCCTGTGAGAGAGCCTTTTTTGAGTTGTTCTTCAAAGAATCCACACGTAATGATATTTAGAAACTGATTTGAACACTTCATGCTAATGCAGAGCTGCCTGTAAGATGATCTTTGATATTTAGGATCTTACACTTTAATATTTAGGACCTGTTATTGTACTCAGGATGGAAATGTCGTGTGTAACACGACAGCATATGACAGCATATTCTGTACATCTTAGGAGCCTAAAGGTGCGGGCTGCCATTTATAACTGACTCAAAACAAGTCATGTAAAACCTCTGTACTTCAGTCTCTTGATTTTAAAAATTACGCAAATTATACCTAAAGCCTTAGGTGTGAATAAATGATCGGAAAAATCATATCTGAATGTTTGAGCAAGTGAAACCTGGCTTTTGGGGAGCATGATTGTAATAATAATGGAGTTTTGTTCCTACTAATGTATTGCTATTCTTATATTTTATTAATATTAATCATGTTACTGTTTGCTTTGTCCTCAGCACTGTATTAAGTGCCATACATGTGATGCAATTTTAACCTCATCAGTAACCTTCTGTAGTTGACATTCATTATTCCCATTTTACAGATGAGGAAAGTTGAGGCACTGAGCACTGGAGGGATTGACCTAAGGTTTACACCATGTTTATAGATAAGCATCAGTGCTTTTTGCAACCAGAGCTCATCCAAAGATGACATTTGCCATCTGTGTTTGAATAATGGAGAGGTGGCTGGAAATCCAACCTAAGCACAGCCTTGCTAGTCACAAAAAAGTCACGCAACATGACTTTTGCTCACCCTAGTTAGAGGCTGGCTTCACCTTGCTCCCTCAATCCTAGTGAGACCAAGCATGAAAACCCCTGCTTTTTTAACTTCTCCAGAGAAAGCACTGCATTGCCATGCTAATCAACACCCCCTCGCCCCCAAACAAAACTAACTCTGTTTAGTTCTAAATAAGAACAAAAGAACCTTTGGAGCCTGGAGTACAAGACCAGAAAAATCAGGAAATCAAGTGAAGGGCTCGGCTCCCCTCTTAGCTTCTCCTGTTGTGTCTGCCTGATCCCGTGTGGCAGGCAGAGCCCCCCCCCCCCCGCCCTGCTTTCCTTTACAGTGGGCAAGGCCATCATGATGCCCTTAAGAAGTCCCCCCGACATCTTCCTGGGGAAAAAATTGGCTCTTCAGAGCTGTCCCCAAGGCTCCCTCTTCTAGCCCTCTTGCTTAGGGTCATTTGCATGAGAACAGATTCCTTTGTGCAAAGTTGGCCTGCCTGTTCTCTGTCCACGTTTATAGTCCTTCAAGTCTTCGTGTTGGGTTGCTAGGCAGATATGACCCTGGCTTGCAAATAAGCTCACTGCATTTACTAGCCTGTGAGAACTTCAACTTGGATAAGTAGATTGAAAGGAATCTGGTCTGGAGCTCTGAGAGGAGGGTCCTGCAATCCTGCTTTGGGGGCTGACTCTTCAGAGCAGCCATCAAAGAGGGAGAGTACGTAAAGGGGACTTCCGTGGGAGGCTTCAATGGCCCACCACCCTTCCACTCTTCCTCTTCCAGTCTCTGTTCCACCCACGGTGCACCCACCCAAGGGCCTGTGTTCTGGGCAAGTGACTTGCATGCCATTGAAGCAATTTCTTGCTTTAAAACTTTAATATCTGCTTCTCCAGTTGGCCAGGAGCTTTACACTCCGTCATCTAGCAACCTTTCCAGTGAACCAATGGCCCAGGTAGTTCTATTAGGTTTATTTTGTGATTTGGGGTCCTCCCCTGCAACCCGCGCCCCCCCCCCCAAATTTCATAGATTGTAGGAAGGCAGGGCCCTTCAAGCTGGCAGATGCACACTTCAGGGATAATTTAAAGATTTGCCAAGGGGTTCTGAGGCACAGTGATGAGATGATAATAATATTACTACAGATTGTGTGCATGGCTTAGTACTGTTGCTAAGTTAACCAAATTAATACATGGAAGGGGCTTAGCGCTGGGATTGACTTATGGTGAGGTTCCCTAACTCTTGGCTGTGACTCTTTCAACGTGTGATTCCTAGGGGATTGAGGAGGATGGTGATCAGAAAAGCCTTCAACAGGCAGAGTAGACCTTGGGAGGACTGGCAAGTGGGTACTGAGCCAGGGGAGGGGTGAACAGCATCAGAGGAAGGTAGGAGGTGGGTGAGACCATTTTGTATTTGGGGGCAATGAGGTCACCTTCTCATCAACGGGTGTGGGGGTGGGCGATGATTGATTTCTGTCATGCCCATTGCCTCTTGGTGCAGTATCGATGTATCGTTGGGTGTCTGTCATTAACTCTGAAGTAGCTTTTACTTGATCGGTACTGAATTTTGTTCCTAGGCTTCTCAGTCTTCATAGTTGACTGTTCCTCTAGTTTTGCCATCTATCACTGCTTAAAAAAGAAAAATAGAGAACATAGCCTCTGGGAGGCTTCTATAAGGTATCTGAAGCCTGTTGGAAAAGTCCTAAAAAACAAACCCAGGCTGGGTGTGATAATCCTAGTGCTTTTGGCACCAAGGCAGGAGGATTGCTTGAAGCCAGTCTGAGACCATCCTGAGCAACATGGCAAGACAACGTACCAAAAACAAATATTTTTTTTTCAGATGGAGTCTCGCTCTGGCACCCAGACTGGAGTGCTGTGGCATGATCTCAGCTCACTGCAACCTCCGCTTCCTGGGTTCAAGTGATTCTCCTGCCTCAGCCTTCCAAGTAGCTGGGACCACAGGTGTGCGCCACCATGCCTGGCTAATTTTTGTATTTTTAGTAGAGATGGAGTTTCACCGTGTTGGCCAGGCTAGTCTTGAACTCCTGGTCTCAGGTGATCTACCCGCCTCGGCCTTCCAAAGTGCTGGAATTACAGACATGAACTATTGCACCCGGCCTAAAAAATATATTTTTAAAAAATTAGCTGGGTGTGGTGGTGCTGTCATGCCACTGCACTCCAGCCTGGGCAACAGAGTAAGACCCTGTCTCCAACCAACTAACTCAAAATCTCAGAACAAAATTATTTAAGTCACATTGCATTTAGGAATGAATGCATGTCATATTAAACCAGTGACACAGTTGTGGGTTGTGGAAACTCATTGGCAATATTGGGAAGGGTGGGGTATGGGACCAGTGGCTTTTGCTCCGATGGAGTCAAGCTTTCTTTGGATAATTGAAGTTGCTCCACTTGCCCGGTCCCCAAGGCCCAAGGAATTAAAAACCTGCTCATCTGCTATGTTTCTTGTCTAAAGGGAGATGCTGACTTTCCCTATCTTGTCTAAACCTGTACTTCCTGTCCTG